ACATTTAAGTTGGTCGGGTCAAAAAAACAACAGTGTGAATGGAAAACATTAAATGTATTAATATTAAACATGCATAAAATATTTTCATATTTAGAAATTGTATTTGATTGTTACATTCAGATTTCTTTTGCTGCTAAAGCCATGAATTTTGCTATCATTTTTGTGTGTATACAGGATGTCAATAATGCTGTACTGATGTATTTATAATCCTTAAATATGTGAAAATGTAGGACAGTTTTTTTATTACATTTTTTATTTAATAAAAATTAAGTTTATAGCTAATGTAAGTGATATGCACAAACATGTCTATATGTTTTGTTTTTTTAAGATTTATTTTTGGCGTTTTATGCCTTTATTTAGATAGGACAGTAGGTGGACAGGAAGGTCCGTGAGCCGGGACCCGAACTTGGGAAGCCCAAATCGTAACAGTGCTACATTAACTAGCCCACTGCCCACGAGGCCATCAGTGCCGACAAATGTCCATATGTTTAATCTAAGTTTTCTGAAGTGACACTATTGCTTTATATGATGAACAGATTTAATTTAGGCTCTCATTCACATATCAACTTTGTCTTGATTGTTGACATTGTCTTTTATCACCAAGAGTGGTTTCAACTAACAATACATGCTTTAATGTAGTTTATTTCATTAAAAATAGTGACTATGCCTTAACACAAGATTTAAAATCAGCAATAAAAAAACATTTGCATTTAAGGCTTGAATACAGGACACAAAATCTGAACAGAGTTTAAAATGCTAGACATCATACACTTACCGAGTTTGTAAATAGTCACAGAGGAATAACTAAACTACTGAGGATCACACACTACCAGACTTTAAAATCGTTCCGATCTCAACAAACTTGTAATGTATCTTGAAAACAGTTTGTTCTAAAATCGGCTGAAAATATCAAACATGTTTGATATCCTCCGACTGGATAGATTCATAGTCTGAAGCTAAAAAAATCAGAGTCTGTGACCATCATACACTACGTGATTTTCTATGAAATCTGTCAACTCAAATCTGCAGACTGCCTCTGACTTTCGCCAACTAGCGTCAACTTCTCCAGACTGTAAATCAGGGCAAAAATCTGGGGAAAAGTCATGTAGTGTATTCCAGCCTTTACTCATACCACATTTTCCAGAAAAAATAGATTTATTTTTAATCATCTGAAAAGTGCTGCGCCTTCTGTTCTAAAGCCTTTGTCATTGTTGTATGTTAAGCGAGACCAAAGACCAATTTTCAGCCAAGGCTGAACAATAAAGTAAAGTAAAGCGACCCAGACAATAAAATAATTGTAAAACATTTTTATATTTTACACATGTAATATTTTAAACACTTTATTTAATTTTTTTACTTTAGAGTTATGCAGTAAAATTCACTTTAAAAAAAGATCTGCATTTCTCATTTTCATTCATAGAGATAACATGGTGGAAAACAAACACTTTTAAAATGAAACTGGCTGCAGAGAACCACGTAGTAGCTCATTTTCTATTTCCACTCCCCAGTATAGTTCTTTTAACACGTTTTGTGGATTATAAAATGACCATTATAACAAACGACATTTTATTGTACTGAAGTATGAAGAATAGCAAGTGCAGGAAAAGTCACAAAGTCTCATGCCATTTAGATGAAGGATGAAGAAAAAAATAAGCCCAGACTCCAGCAGCTTAGAAGGGTTAATTATTCAACTATTTGAAAATACAAAGCGAATTAAATAAGTTAATTATTAATGCTAATAATTATTAGACGTAAATAATTAGGGCTGGGTATCGAGTTCGATACTTTTTAGGCACCGACCGAATTGCCTCGATACCATCGAGTATCGAAAAACATCTTGTCGTTCGGTACCAAATTTCGATACCTAAGGGGTTAATCTCATCAGCGTCAGTGAGCCAATATAGGCCCGGGTATACTTCACTTTCTCCGTTCCGTCTCGCGCTCAGCCGTGTCCGCACAGCTTTCAAACTATACTCAACCGCGGATGAGTGCAGACGGACGAGCTCAACACAGGCGCAGTTTGACTTGCGCTCTGTCTCAACTTTCACCTCGCGCATGTGCTGTTGTACGCGGACCGTCCGCGCGGTCTCAAAAAATTGCCTGCAC